TTTCGGATAAGGCCGCGCTTTATCCGAGTTTTTATGGCGTTAGATGTTGTTGTTGTGCTATGCACTTTACGGAAGCCTTGCTGATGACTTTCTAGGGTGGTGGTGTCTCCGCCACCGGGGAAATGATATTTATCGGCCGATAAGACTATCCTATGTTGGCAGGTTTCTCCGACTTTGGCACTGGGATCACTCTGCCTGTTTTCCACGTGTTGGGGATGATGAGAATAGCCATTGTCATGTTGAGTACCTTTGTAAGCTAGTCTATTCTAGATGGACCAAATTTTTCAACATCAGCATGCATATTCTATAGGGACTAATTGCTTGGACCTCATAGCTGGTGAGCAGCCTTCTGGGAACTCGAAGTTTGGCTTTATCCACCGTATTATGCAGCGGGAACTGCTGGCTTAAATATTTCGCGCATCGCATCGGGTTCGATGAGGCACGGTCGCCGATAGAGATTTTCACTCTATAGTCGCGGTTATTCGGTTTGGACATGACCTTTCGGTTGACGAAAGCTTGCTGACACCAGAGGTGAAATTGCCAGTCTTCAGGTGCTCTACTTGTGTAAGTTGACCAATTGCAGTATCTTCGAATTCAGATCCCTGATGAAGGGAACCTGGGGAAGGATGTCACGCTCGTTTGCTATAACAGCCACTTCAGCTGGGGAAATTTGGGCAGGTTTCCGCAATATATCCAGAAGAGATCAAGCTGGTTGTGGTAGCAGTGATAGCCTTTCCGTACTTACGTTCGCTTGCATGACCGTCGGTTGGTGTGGAAAGAGCAGTGGAGGTGATCTCGGTAACTTCCGCAAAGCCGTTCCAATCACCTTTGTTAAAGTTGATGCCGGTTCGGTGTTTCGCGGAAGCAAAGTCAGAAGGTTAATGGATCGAGACGATTATGGGCAGATACTCCGATGCTAACGTCAGCTTAGGTCGCCACATTGTGCGCTTTACCAGACCAGCGTAATGTCGAATAGTATATCTACTCAGCAAATACATATATTTCCCTACGATCGTTCCACACACTTGACTGCGAAAGATCGCGGTGTGCATTGAAGTCACCTTTATCAAGGGGATATCATGCCGGGCAGCTGGCAGCATTAAATATTTCGAGCTCGACATCGCCTAACGGGATAACAATGCCCTGACATTCTAGGGTGGTATCCCTGCGGTCGATGTCTGCTCGAAATGAGACGATACTGCGCGGTGCGATGCGCACATTGTATCCAATGCAGTCAACAGTGTTGAGTTGCTGTGCAGTTTCGTCTTTTGGATGGTAGCTTTCAATACTCCACATGTCGACTCCTAAATATTGCTCGTAAAAGCCCTTTGATGCTCAGGGACTGTTGCTTCAGCAACATTCTCCGAAATTGTCTTAGGGAATATTTATGCTATAACAACAACCACATTGGAAGGTTTCGGGGGAAATGTTTAGTAGCGCTCACATCGTTTTTGGGGTGGGTGGCGGAGGGGGTGAAGGCGGGGCCCCCCAAACGCCCCCCACTGGAAAGGGGACAGTCCTCGCTTTCTAAAAAGGCGTACTCCCCCCTTGGCCTCCTCCCACAGTCCCCTAGGGAACCGTTTGAAAAAGGGGGAAAAACGGAATTTTCTTAGGCAAACTGAGCAGTTTGAAGTGGAATATGACCCAACTAACAGAAACCGTGGGATTTTTTAATAAAAGAAATTATGCCAAATCAGATATCGGGTGAATTTGAATAAAGAATAAAAAAGTTAATTAAAAATAGNACGTTATTGAGCGCTTAAAGGTGGGGAAGAATGTAGGGGCAAACAAAACCGTACTTAACTACATATGTACATATAAAACATAAAATTGACGCATGAGCTACGCAGCTAAGAGCAAAGCGCAGAAAGAAAATTAAAACAGGAATTTCTGATAAGTCGATTTGGCAGGTATTTTCGCAAGTATGCTCCACGCTTAAACGCTAATAAAATATATGAACATACCTACATATGTATGTACATATTTCTCAAAAAGGCGAAGACATATGTATATGTATGTATGAATGTATTATGCAATACTTGTAACAAAATGTTTACCACTTTTAAACACCTCGCTCCTTTGCCGTTCGATGTTTGGCCTTTGAACTCTCGTAGGTACGTCACACTTATTTTAATTTTTTACAACAAATATTCGCTGCATTTAAAACTTCATCTCAAACACACATAAAGGCACTTACGCATCGTTGTATAAAAGAAATTCCCACACTCGCGGCTAATTCACAAGCTTGTGTTAATTTTTATTGTAGACCGGTTCACTCTAACCAAATAACTTTTTTCACACTTGTTAGCTGCTTCTATTCTCTTTTTCTTTGATACTTAACATTCTTCAAAATTTACTTTTCTGCAATATATATGTATATCTATTTGCACTTTTATTCGTTTTTGCCGCTCAACTAATTTTTTACACTTTCGCACTGCGCTACTGAATGAAAATTCAGCAAAAACGTCTTCCCCACTTTCTCCCTTATACCGGTAAACGCAAGCATACAACAACAAAGTTTGTATAATCCATCACCTGGAAGGCGCCGCAATTTCACCGAGCAACACACGTTTACACACCACCAGTTACTTTGAAACTGAACCGAGCAGACGCGAAAGACTGGAGAAATGGCGCTGTTCTTTCGCTTGCGACATCGGCAGCGCACCTTGGGTCGAAGGCCTTTTTGCGGTAACAATTCTCAGTTGTTAATTAAATGCCAAATATATATATTCAGTAAGCATCTATCCACTCGTTTTTTTCTGTTACTGATTCGTTGTAGTATAAATTAGGTTCATTCCTTATCTTTTTGGACTAAAATCTGAAAAGTGTCAAAATGCCAGAGCGTAAGCAAAATGCGCTCACTAAAAGAGAGTAACAGGAAAAGTAAAGGAACGCAAAAAACCAAATTTTTAGTCCAAAGAATGGCAACAACAAAACTAACGTCAAATAAGAACAGAAATGTATGTACAAAACACATTCACACAAGCACAAGCACAATAAACACTTGCTATATCAATTATTTTTTGCCTCCTTCCAATTTCAATTCATTTCTTTCACTTTTTAGATTATTCTCACTTTTTGCGTATTCTTTAATTTCCGTTAATTTAAATTCAGTTGAGTTTGACACTTTTCAGGATTTTGCCAGAAAAAATTCTTCTGACTAAATCTGACTACTTCGGACTGATGAGAGTCGCTCTCACTGACTGTTGCTCTCTCATTTTTGCTGTCATTTCCGAGTTAGGGAACGCTTTTTGGACTAAATCTGACTACTTCGGACTTTTTCTGACTATTTCTGGGAGATAAGGAACGCGCATATTATAAAAACTACTTTAAAACTTCCAACGCATTAAAAAAAAAAATTGGCTCAGCCAAAAGTGCAGTGATCACATCGAAACAAAAACATTTCCCTACGAACACTAGTGCTGTAAATTAATGAGAGCACAAAGCGGAGTGTGACAAGAGCGAAAGAGCGATAAAATGGAGGGGAAGCTGTTAAAGTGCCACGCAAAACATTTGAATGTTAACTAACATTTTATTAAAATGAGAAACGATTTTTTAAGAATTTATTTAAAATGATTTTCATAATTCATAATAATTCGTATGTGGATGCATACGGAGTAGATTCGATGTGTTTGCATCTTAAATATTTATATTTATAAATGCAAGTAAGTAAATATGTCCATACATTCATACTAGAGCATTCAATCCTGGGATCCAGAATCCCGGGATTTCAGGATCCCGCACACTTTTCCCTGCCCGAAATCCCGGGACATAATCACGCAAGTTCCATACTCCAAGTGACGTTGAAAACAAAAAAATTTATTCACATGCATTTGACATGAAAAAGGACTTCGAGTCATTGATCAAACATTTTGCGCAAGAATTGTGTAAGAACGAAAAATCTGCAAATATGAGTAAAGGCTGATTTTCACTATGTCAAATTCAATGGCATTTGTCGTAAAATAAGTGAGCGAATCAGATCAGAATAGGTATTCAGTTGTGCACATGTGCCGCCAAATTAGCTAACTGTCCCTTTTTAGTCCTTAATATAATCGGTTAAGGTATGAAAAAAGAAGATAAAGCTGTGCCAAAATATGTTGACAGAATTTGTTTTCAAAATATCACATAGTGAAAATCAGCCTTAATTGGTTTTAACAATTACTATAGGTAGATATTTAAGAATACTATGAAAATATTCTAACATTAAATTACGAACCCTTTTACTAAGTGGTGGTTTAATTTTTTGAATGCCGAGAACGGCGAGCCTTCTGCAAAAATGCACAAATTGTTATATAGCCGAAATTTGAGCAACCCGAAATCCCGGCATTGTTCAAGTGCTTCGGGATTGAATGCCCTAATTCATACATACATATTTAATTTTAAATTCCTCTGCTTACAAACTCATGCAGTACTAAATGCATTGCCTACTTTTCGGCGGCAGTGAAAAATATTCATTTTCATGCAGACACGCCATACTGATGTGTTTTCTCATTGTAAAATTTTTAATTAGAAAATTGGTCAATATACATAGGTACATACTTTTAAATTTGCTGTTCTCAAAAATTGCAGGTATGCTTAATATGCTTTTTAAATGTGATTTCCTCTAATGCTTAAATTCATTAAAGAAAGAAAATAAATTTGAAATTTTTAATACTGGTGACTAAACAGGCAATTTGTATGAGTATCGCGCTTTACAAAGCTTTTAAAACCTATTTAACTTTTCTTGAATAAGGCAAGGCCTTGGCCAACAGCATTAAGGCACCAAGCTTGATATTTCTTTGATATATCGTCGTTTAAAGTACAAAACCGCGTATCAATAAAATGCAAAACCGCGTATGTGAGGTCGCATAAATTATTTTCAAGAGAGTAAAAACACTCATGCTTTAAAATTGTTCTCTCTTTTGTAAAAACAATCGCATTTCTGGCTAGTATATTTCAGGACGAATGGATACGGATTGAGCCAAGAGTTTGTGTGAGCAAATCCAATTTTCGACAGCAAATGGCACACAGTTTTGCAGAATGACGATACGCGGTGTCGTACTTTAAACGACGATATTTATGCTCAATCTAAAAAATGGACATTCTTGCATTTAAATAGTCTTTTTTTTATACATACATATCGTTACCTTAATATGGAAAGTAGAGCTGCAAAAACATTGGAGCACTATCGATAGTATCGATGTTTTAATATTTTTTTTTTTTGAAAACATCGATGTTTGGTTTACCATCGATGTTTTTAGAAGATATGCCATCATTAGAACAATCAAAGCGTAATAAACTTATATTCTTTTACAGTTTAGCTGAATTTTAGCACAAAAGCGTACCAATAAGTGTTTAGGGAATTTATTACTCATTAAAATGATTTTGTCAGTGCCATTCGATCTCTAATTGGGAAAATTAAAACTACAAACTTGAAGTGTACCCCAGATTATTGCCATAAAGAGCAAATATTTATTTAATTTAATTTAATTAATTAATAACTTGCAATGTTCAATGTGACCTTAAATATAAGTCTAATTAAATTTTAAACTAATGGATAATTTGAAAATAGTAAATGTAATTTGTTAAAAAATTGTTTGTTAATTAATCAGGATTTCAAGTTTAAACAAGAAGTTATAATACCCAAGAAAACACGATAGTATCCATACTATCGATATTTTATTGACAAAAACATCGAAAAATCTATAGTTTTAAATATCGATGTTTTTGCAGCACTAATGGAAAGGCCCTAACTCATTTTCTTACAAAATTCATCTTTGTACAAAAGTCGGTAGATTACACACTAAAAGCCTAATATATTCTAAAAGCCCAACCTGCTTTGGATACTTCTTTTGTAATGTTTTTTGCTTCTCCTGTAAAATAAAATAAATTTTAGTTAGGGCCTTTGTGAATTAAGGTAACGAATGAATACACAAAAATATATGTTACGCATATTTTAAAATGGTTCTTTAAGCACCTTTCCGTGGTCAATACCATAAATATATTCATTATTACGCACATAACCCCAACCCATGCGCTTTGAAGTCCAAGCCACGCCTATATCACCCGTAGGTCCAATAGTTATAGCGCCACCGGTACCTCCTAAGCGTTCAGTCATCTCCTTGCACGCAACTTCGGTCGCCTCCTGAGCCGACATATTGCAGTATCTAATGTTTGCTATAATCTTTTGTGCCAAATTGAAACGCATAATTGTCTCGCCATGACCAGTGGTAGAAACACCGCCCCACTTATTATCTGCATAAGTGCCACAACCAAGCAATGGTGTGTCACCAATACGCCCTGCCACTTTGCCAGTTATGCCGCCTGTAGAAGTGGCCACTGCTATATTGCCTTTTGCATCTATAGCCACAGCACCAACGGTACCAGGTTCACCTGGTCGCTCTTTAATTGTTTTATCCAATTCTGTTGGCGCATATGTGGTATCTTTACCCTCAGATTGTTGTTGCTTAAATTGCTTTAATGCATCACGTGCACTTTGTGTTACTAATGATCCCGCTGGCAATTGCTCAGCTCCATTTGCTAAAGCAAATTTCTGTGCGCTTTCACCACCTAAAAATGTGTGATTTGTTCTCTCCATTACACAACGTGCCACTGAAATAGGATATTTGATGTCGTGCAACAAAGTTACACAGCCAGCTTGCAACCGCGATCCTTCCATTATGCTTGCTTCCACTTCAACGTTGCCATCACTATTCAGGCATGCTCCATAACCCGCATTGAAGTTTTCATCCTCCTCCATAGCGCGTACAGCCGCTTCGACGGCATCCAGAGCAGAACCTGCTTCAATACCACCACATTCAGGCGAAGGCATCAGCAGCGGCAAACCTGCTTTCAAAGCCAGTTTCATACCTTTTGTCTTGCCAGGCACTCGCGCGTCACTTATGTCACCAGCTCCACCGTGTACGAGCAGCATTGGCGTAGTCATTGTGTTCGAAATAAGATTATGGCTGCAAAGAATATTGAACATACATATGTATGTCAACGTAATGATAATAATTTATTTACTGAATGAAAATTTTAATCTTTACTCACAGCGCAGCTTTGGTGCAATGAACGACGTGCATCAAGAAATTTTACCATTAGGTCGGAAATTACAATTGCCTACTTTAGTTTTATCATTGTTTACTAGCTGTCTGGCTGTCTTATCAAAGCTGGAAATTTCCAATGGAATATAAACTGGCGGTTGCCACTTTTCCGATTTAAGACTACCATAATTTTAACGGAAAAAGTACCATATTAATTTTTATTTTGGTCAAAAACTGTTCAACTTTACCATATTTATTATTTTAATTTACTAACAACAAATATCCATTTTATTTTTAATACGAACTCGATTGTTTTTTCCAACAAAATAAACGGTGTCGCTACTCTGAAGAATTCTGTGAAATGAGGAAATACCTGCCAAACAACAAAAATTATAGGGTGCCAAGGTACAATCGATGAAAAAATGTACCACTTTTGCTTAATTAGTACGGGGTGTGGCAACCATGATCTAAACATGCAGAGTTGGTACGTTACGAAAACGATTACGTAGCAGAGGCACAAAATATTCGAAGTAAAAAATAGATGGAACCCGTAGTGAAAGATACAAATAGATTAATATTTTAAATTTATAAGTTTTCATATTTAATCTTTTAGTTAAAAACTTTGTAAGTATTGCATTATATGTGTATCTTTTTCGGTGCAAATTAAACACTTTTTGCAGCTTACCGTAGTGTTTTTGTCGATAAAAAATGAAAATTTAGTATCTTTGATCGATGATTTGATATCTACGAAAAATTACATTACGGCAAAATTAACCCTTTGCCTCTCTGTTAAGCCGCATTTGAGGTTTATGCTAACATCTGTTATATGTGCATAGCTTGCAACAAATCTGGAAACGAATCTATCGTGGAAAAAGGAGAGAAATTCTACATCAATACGTGGTCATTGTTACCTCTTTGCCCAACTTCGTATTCTTCTCGTACATCAAATCTTTCTGCTTGTTAACAATATCCGGTTAAAGCTGACACTTGAATTGTGTCTCTTCGTTTATGTGAAAATATGCGCTTTGTATAATTTGCTGTAAGAGTACCCGTTTATATATTAAAGCCATGACCTGTATACCAAATTTTTCAAAAAATAATGAATCGTTGCTGCCCTAAAGTTTTATGAAATAAAATAGCATAGTAAAAATAGTATTAGGCGTAGTGGGGTAGCAAATTTTAAACAGCCGTATCACGAGTTTCATTTTCCCCGAACCGGTTCACTTTTCATTTCCATGTATTTACTGTGGGCGGAACACAAATTTTCGGGTGAAACTCAGGATAAGGCAGAAAGTTTCTGAAAAATCGCAGCCGATTTCTACGATCGTAGCAAACATAGTGTGCCAACGCTGATAATTAGTAATAAACCTTGGGTCAATTTTGCGTCTGCCTTCCACGGGATGAGTTATGGTCTGATTATGCATATTTCGCATAACCTTCAAACTGTAATTTCGTATGTTCTTTGTATGTATTCCATTACCCAAAAATTAGCAGAACGTTTTACAACTTTAGTTTAGATTTTGATTCACATTTTCTTAAGTTACATTTTTATTGTCAGTATGCATAATCAGACCTTTATCCAAGGCTGAAATTAATCGTACACTGACATTCTAGGCATGCATAGTTGCTTTTGGGAGACCAATAATTATTAAAGCAAATATTTTCAAAAAGTATAGCGTAAAATGAAATCTATTGTATAATTTCACATCAAACGGTTTACATAAATGACTGATTGTTAAAACTGATTGAATAAAATATGTCGTACAACCTTTTTTGGACAAAATGAAAATTACTATCTACACCATAGCTGGGCACACCAACACAGTCTCATTTTGTCATGGTATTAGTGCGTCGCGCTCAGTTATGGTTGCCGCATTTTTTATAAATGTACTAAAAGTGGTATTTTTCGTGCATGGGTATTTTGGCCTATTTTGCTTATACCTATAGTGTAATAATGAACCTTGGAAGTTTTTAGTAACTAATACTATTAGTTTATACAACCTTTTGCATAAGAAAAATTTAGTACTTGTATAATTTAAAAAAACTTAAATTAGG